GGAAATTCAGGAGCTGAGCTCCTTCTTCGCCGTGGCATTGGACTTTGGCGCCCGCATCGAGGAGAGGCTTTGCTAGGTTTATATTCCATGGGAACAACACTGCATGAATCAATGGCGTACTCGATTCGTGGTCTTTCAAGTGGACGTCGGCTCCTCGGCTTAGGAGCAACCTGAGGAATTCTTCTTGTGTCATATCATCACGGAATACATGTTTGATAACGAGGTGAAGGCAACCCCCTTCCTCACACCACAAGGAGTTCACGTCTACTCCGTACTTAAGGACCAAGTGAAAATCCTCAATTTTTTCTCGAAGTATAGCGTTTTCAAGCAAAACCGTAAGCTCGCCGGGGAAAAATTGAGCTCCGTGAGCTATAAGCAATTTCGTAAAGGCTTCAGATCCTCGGGCGTCGCGGTATTGGGTCCTGAAAACACGAGATATGACCGACGCCCCCACATCATCCATTGCGTGTACATCAGCGCCAAGATGTAGCAGATACTCTATGACACCATCATCAAGAGACCCGTAATACAGTACTGCATCATGAAGGAGAGGAACCTCGTTCACATTGGCGCCATATAAATGCAGCACCTCCACCACTGACCTGAAATCGTAGTTGAAGGCTACTTCAGGTACGTCGGGTGACTGGAGCTCACGCTTGTTGTAGCGACCAGCCTCTACCCAAGCCAGTAGGCCCCCGTGTCGGATAGCACGAGACAGAGTGATTTGATCTCTTATCTTCGCGCCTTTTTGAAGGAGGAAAAGGGTCATAACCGCATTCCCCCGCCCCACCGCCACTTCCAAGGGGTTGTAGGGCATGGTGTCCCAGGGAGGGTAGTCGTTGCTGAGGTAATTCACATCGGCTCCATGTTTCAAAAGGAGATCTACCATACCCAGGTTGTCATCCTCGATAGCCAAGACTAGAGCTGATTTTGCTTCCAATCCTATGATTAGGCTCCATCTTCCCTCGTATGTCAAGCCTCGGTTCAGATCTACTTTCCAGGACAATAGGTGACGCATCCCTTGCATAGCACCATTCATTGCACACCAATACAAGGCAAGTTCCCCTGGATCTGTATCAAGGTTTCGCTTGTAAAGATCACGAATTAGGAGATCGTGAAGGTATCTGTTGGTGCACATCAAGCCAAGCACATCTTTACACGGTAGCTCTGACACTATCATGTTTATGATTTCGAGTGGTAACGAAAGGAGGGGCATTTTGAAGGTCAGTGGCCGGGAGCAAACTGGGCGATTGAGGATATGAGGTTGAGAGGATGATAAATAAACAAAACACGCGTTGGGACTTTTTTTCATGCACATATCCGTGACCTATGCGACTCATCTAACTCTCATACTGGATAACTAATATATTGAGTGAGATCTGAATACCTGAACTTGGCCTGGCATAAAATCAAGGATAATTACTTGAATTAGTTAATTACCAATGTTACCATTACAGAGAGAGTGTAAACCTGGAAAGATTCTTGAATTTATATGCCCAAAGCTTCATGTTCATAGGATCGTCGGGCCGGGTTATTCCGTGCTGTAAATAGATGCCTGAAAGCGGTCTACATTCAGGCACTCAGGCACTCAGGCATTCAGACATTCAGGCCCTAGTTATGAGTATCCAATGAGAGATATGCCTGGCATACTCTTGCTTATCTCCACCGCCCATCCATGTATTTACTATCAAGACATCTCTGTATATGTACTCCATATATAGCTATATATATGACCTTCTTCTAGTAACATTTTGAGTTTAAATGATCGATTTCGCTATGTTTCCTCTGGTTGTGTTAAGCCAAAGTTGAGCTTACCGAATATAGCCTAGCTCGATATCAGGATGACGAAAGACACTGGCGCCTGGCTGGATTCGAGGGCGCGCCTCTTTTGCTGTACAAACAACGGACATCTATTCTAATTACAACTTCGGATACACAAAAATGGTGAACGTCGCATTGATCGGTGGTACTGGTATGGTGGTAAGTGTACATCCTGCAAGCAAAGCTCCTCAATTTACTGGTCTCGAAATTCCCCAAACCGAGCATACCCAGGCTAGAACTTCAGCTAAATCGCATAACCGATAGGGCTCTCAAATCCTCACCAGCCTTATTGCCAATCCTGCTGTAACTCGTGTGGACACCATCTCTCGCCGTACCCCGTCAGCCACTAGCGGCGCGCCCCCAGCCAAACTCACCAACTTTGTCTCTAGCGATACCGCCACCTGGTCAAGCCAGCTCTCCTCCCTAAGCCCGACCCCCAGCATCTTCTTTTCCGCGTTTGGAACCACAAAAGCAGCCGCAGGCGGGTTCGATAACCAATACAAAATCGAGCATGGGTTGAACGTCGAGCTAGCCAAGGCCGCCCACGACGCTGGCACCAAGGTCTACGTACTGATCTCCGCTACCGGCGCCAGCAAGGATTCGAACTTTGCCTACCCCCGCATGAAGGGCGAAATCGAGGAGGATATCAAGAAGCTTGGCTTTGAGCGCATGGTCATTCTGCGTCCTGGGCTGATTGCTGGTACTCGTGAGGAAAGCCGGCCGTTCGAGGCTGGAGTTCGGTTCATTGCGAATTGGGCTGGCAAGCTGAATTCCGGCCTAAAAGATGGATGGGCCCAGGACGCGGATGTTATTGGCAAAGCTGCCGTCAATGCTGGTCTTAAGGCACTAGAAGGTGATGTTCCCGAGGGCAGTGAGAAGGTTTGGACCTTGTTTGGCAGTGATATCATCAAATACGGCAAGGAAGGCTCGTCTTGAACGCATTGATGCGTTCGAATAAGCTATGTCTATGCAATTATAATCCTTATGGTTTGAGATTTATCACGTTATGAACAAATTGTCTTGAACAAATTACTTGATAGCATTGATCGAAACTCAATATGACTTTATTTTGGAAATGCTGACCTCCCTGCATAACATGATCCTTTATCGCCTGCTGTACTATAAACAAAGAAAGCATTCAATCCCGGTATGAAACATGAGTCCCATCCTCCTTCACATGAATACTACGAGCCTTATTTGGCGTCCCGCGAGAGCTGGAAACCCCACGATCCCGATTCCGAACAGGTCCGTCCTCCTCCTTGGTCCTCCAAGCGCTGGCATCCCTATTGGCTGGGCTCATATTCAGCGGACTCTCCTTGCCTTCTTGCCTGCTTTCCTTTTCATTGGCCGAGAGTTCGCTCTCCGGTGCTGTGTTCGTCGGGTCGAATGAAGAAGGATGTTTGGCCACTTCGCCGTCCGTACCAGATTTGGCAGTCTCTGAGCGCTCTGGGTTCAAGGTTTCTCGGTCGAGCGAGCCCTGGCCCTTTTCGATCTGGGAAATCGGGGTTGTGCTAAAGGGCGTTCTTGTTGCTGTCGGGGCGGCGAGGGATTGAATAGTAGGTTTGGGGACCTGGCTCCGGGTGGCTTGCTGGCCGGCTGAGATTATGGTTTTCCACATTCTGTGAGATAGGAATATATCTGGAGATGTTTTCAGGAGCAGATTGTAGTGGTTCGTACAGATATCTCGTTGTGGTTGGGCTTGGGTATCGAAATTGTAAGATGTATGTTGTAGTGAAGTGAATTAGAGGGAAGGAACTTGTTAGATAAAAGGATTTCTCGTTAACTATTAGGGGAAATCCATTACAAGTAGTCTGTCATTCTTCTCTGTGTTCCAAGTTCTCTAGACCCTAGGATCATATTGACGTCACTTGGTCAGAAACAGTCAGGCTAACCCAATATGGTAATGAGCTTGCCCTTGCCCTAAGTGACCGGCTTAATAATGGTATCACAAGGCCTTTGGGAGTTTTAGCACTGAGTTGCGCGAGATTTATATATTAATTCACTCAAGCCTACGTCCGGATTTGCATAATATATGCCACAGTCAGAAACTTTCTATCATATGAGCAGACTGGATTACGGCTGAAGCAGTAGTGACCAAAACTGCACACAATATTGAACCCGCCATGAGAACTGTCTTCAGCCACTAATAACTAATATACTACCGGTCGAACTTCACACCATGTAGCTCCAGGTCATATTTTGACGACTGGCGGGCCACGAGCCGGTCAGAAAATCGCCAAATGATGTATGGCAAGGTGACGCTGCTAGTTTCTAACGTTCTAGTAATAGGCAGAGGCGCCGTAGAGGGGCGTCGAGTATTCGAGGCGGATGAACTGGCTCGGGATTGAAGCGTGCCCAGACTCGTCAGGATATTAGGACAAGATCCATCGGTCTCGTGTCCATCCACCAACACCATCGAGGTGTCAGGGTGGCCTAGCGCAAATATAATCTAGGGTAACTCACATCAAACCTGAATGGACAATCCGAAATTCCATTAGCCAATTAGCAATGATTACGAGGTAGGAGGGTTTTTGGATATTACATCCAACGTAGGTTCTAGTAAGTGATGGTAGGAGAGAAAAAGGAAAAAAAGGAAAGAGACCCTAGAACCTGACTTAGTGCTGTCTTCTTGATGTGTACCACAGGTGGAGCATTTAGACATGAGAGGAATGTCACGACAACTGGGAACACGTCAATGTGATGGCCCACTCAGAGAAGTACGATCTACCAATGATAGCTAGTCGTAGGCCTCACTCAAGGCGAGTGCTGATGAGATGCACATGCCTCTTTGGTGCAGGACGGGTGGGGGAAAGTCTCACTAGTGGCATACAACTGACATCCCGGCTGACGGTTGCCATTGGATGATTGGGCCGGCTGCAGGTGAGGATAAGTCGATCGGTCGACCAATCCCCGTACGCTCAAGGAAATGTAGACAGTGGGCTTTTTACTGTCCAGCACCGGAGGTAGAATTACCATCAACGATTTGTCGCCAGTCAAAGGCAGGCGTGTGTAGGGTGCGGGAACCTCCGTTCACTATCAGATCACGGGATCAGAAAAACCCGACGCTGTGGGAGCCTGTATGCGGGTCCTAGAATTCAATTCTAACGTTGAGGGACGGGCTTCCTAGTTGATAGCACTCAAAATTGTCTGCGGTGGCTCTAACCAGATAAAAACACGATCTAGTATTTCACTGGGCAACTTCGCTTGTTGGGCAGAAACGACAACCATGCTTTGCCCACACCCACGGCCTGATCCTTGCGAGGAGATTTCGGTGGTAAGACGGAGCGAGAGGAAAAAGAGCAGGGGGGCATTAGAAGGTGATTCGAGGGCTTCTTGGGGCTGGATGCAATGAGCTCGCCGCAGCAAAGTATTGATCCACCGGGTGTGACGGCCATTTTGAGGCTGTGAGCCATCATTTAGGATGCCAGTTGCCAACTCAACATCTTGTCATGGATCATCTTCCTAGGTCCGATTCTGGGCGTGATTGAGCGGCATTTCCCGACGATCACTTGTCGTACTGGTGCATTGCCCAGGACAATCGGCCAAAACAGCAAGCACAGAATTCTGCAGGATTTTCCATTCCATATTGGCAATCTGTCATATTTCGTCATTGCAAATAACGTGAATGGCATCTGGGTCCTCGGTGGAGCTTGCAGAGAATCCTAAACGGCGATCCACGGCCTTCGACCCAGCCTTCGCTACTAGGAATTGGTGCAGAAAGCCAGAAACAACGTGCCACGTCAGAGTCTCTGGGCTTTAGTGCAGCTGCATATGGTTCAGTAATATGTGGAATGTGTCACGGTTCGTCTGCGGCGAGCGCCGTACATCAATCCGATCCTATCATTTCCGCCATAAGAGCAAGTGGGTGATGATGAACACACACATGAGCGGGGGCAAATGCATGATCCCTCTTTGCAGGAGTGAGAGATCAGCTGAACGAAAATAGATCTATCTGGCCTGCATCCCTGATTTTGGGGGTGTGGCACAAGAAATTTCAATTGCGTGTTCCGTGTCCTTAAACCCGAGTGCCAATGATAGAGCCTCAGAGACTCTAGCACTACCAATTAACTGAGTGCTATTGGCTGACAGACACGGACCGGAAAGGCGCAGCAGGGGTGGAAAGACGGCCGAGTCTGAATTTTGATAGACTGGCGATTAAGGCTCGGCAGGAATAACACAAGGTGACAGGGGTTAATGGTTGCAACCACATGCTGAGACCCAACATGGATTACCATCATTGCCCAAATGCAGGAAACGTAAGAGCCACGAGGAGGAATGAAGGCAATAAATCGGGATGTGCATGCATCTGCAATCACACAGACAGCAATATCGGATAGATACTTCTGTGGATAAACATGGCGTTCGGTCAGAATCCCGTGTCGGTGCTCATGATAGATGAGGTAATGAGCCAATCAATAATGGCAGCTATCAAAAAATCGCTTCAGGATAGAACAACCCATTGGGGTGGAGTCACAAGTGGCGTGCAGAGTCCCGTCACATTCGCGAAGGCAGTAGCTTTTCTGTTGCATAGAGACAGGGTTATCCCTGGGCATAAAAGCGTGATTATTGCATCAATACGACATCTGGCAAATGCCGGGACCGACTCGGCCATGCAGGAGTAGCCATGCAAAACGCAAGAGAATCACAAGCGTCGAGTCCATGCGAACAGCATCCACATGAAAGCGGGGAGAGGCAGATGGCGACAGCATAATTGCAGTAGTCGAATCTGGAAACTAGAGTATTGCAGCCATGAATTGAGGGATTTTCGGCCCATCGTACATCATCGCCATGAGGCGGGAATCGCTACGGCTGATGGTTGCATGCATCCATGAAGCAACTGATTGTTCACGGTGGCTCCATTCGAGATGCAATGGCCATCATACCGTCTCCACTGCTTGGAGAACTGCTCACAGCCAACCGGATCAACCGTCAGGCAGGTGCGATGTGAAATCCACGGACTGGAACCACAGATGATAAGCCATCGGGCACTGAGAAACGTCGATCAACAGTGGGACGAGGCAAACATGGGAGAATAGAGTCGTGGCATACAAACTTCGAAACATAAATAAGCCTGTCAACGCCCCTATGATGCCGTGAAGTTCACAATCATCCCTCCGGTTTCACAATTCGAGTCTGAAATCTTCAAGCCAGCCCAATAGATCTTCCTCATAAAAAGAATTCATTCGAAATTTGTTTCAACTTTGTTGAGCTTCCCGGGTCCTTTCAAAAACAGACAAAGGTCGGCCTATCAAATCCGACAAGCTCGGGTGTACTGTCAGGTGCAACCAATAGCAGCCCGCATTCAAGCTGAAACAAAGACGGAGAGCCGTGAGCAAGTGAGTTATGTTGTACTTGCAGATTGAGCAGCACTGACAGATCTGATAGGCATGTGCTTTTACAACCAAAAGAGATTTGCGTGTGGAGACTGGAGCTGGACCAGCTTTGCCCACCGATGCAACTATGAATATCGCACCGGCGAGACATGCGGTATGAGACTCGTCAACATCACTGAGAATGAGAAGACCAATTGTCGTCTCTGCGAAAAAATCGAGACCAAAAATCGCCGGCGTAGTGCCGAAGTCGACCGTTTGGACCGGTGGAAGCGAGAGGGTGCCACACTTGTGGCTTCCATTGATCGGTCTCACAAACTCATTATGGACTTGGATAAAGAGATCCGCGCCCTGCAGCGGGAGCGGGACGAACGAAGGAGCACTCTCCTAAGATAGGATTGGCTTGGATTTGTAAAACCGGTGTTCCTTTGGTTAATTTTTCTTTTTTCCTCTTTCCCTTTTGGACAGGTGAATAACAATGTCTTGACTTTTGTGTCGGGTCCTTCGTGGGCCAATTGTCCTGTCGTTTTCTTGTTGCCTGTCACTGTTTCTTTAGGGGGATGCAGCGAGTTTCATGTTTCACCATTTGTCCGCGACATTAAGTCCAAATCGAGTTTCTGCAAAGTGATGGGAAAGCCGTATCGCCTTTGAAAAGATTGACGAGAAATTTAATTGGTTCAAACTCCGTATTGGTTTTTGTTGATAGGCTGCTAAGCTCCCAAAAAAGAATGTCAATAGGGACTAGCCCAGTCATAAGCGCCCTTTCTCCTGGGTGAGCGGTTCGCTGAGACAGATCGAGTCTCACAGGACAAGGAGTGGAACCTGCTGCAGCCAGACAAAAAAGCCATCGAGGCCTGACAAATATCAAATGGCCATTCAAAATCGACCAGTCCTTGAAGGAAGAGCAATGGTACCTGGTGTCAGAGCGAGGGCACATAGTGGGACAAAATGCCCCTCATAACACATGCCTGCACGTGATGACCACCTGCTTAGATAACCTAATAGAATGAACCTGTCAAGAAGATATCTTAGTAGCATCATAGGAAAGAGGCGAATGGAAGTGGAAGTGGTTCTGCTGGTTAGGAGTGTTGTGAGAAGAATCCAGGGCTAGCTGGGCTAAATAGGTTCCACTTCCCTTGCTCTATACCGTGGACAACTCCAACATTGCGAAATCAATCCAGCTCTAAAACGATAGCTTTGGGCGATCTAAGTAAAATAATGACAGGTTTAGTAGGTATAACTGAAATTGAAATCGACAAAAGTAAAAAGTGAATGCGGTAGTGAACTGAAGACTACAAAACAGCAAGCTGGGGAACTATATATCATGGCACTATAATCGGAGAATTTACTTCTACATGCCACTAAGCAACACCCGTGCTTCTTCAGTCTACGTGTACCTATCTGCTTCAATATCTTCAAAGCACAAAGCGTCAAATTGGAATGCAGAACTGAAGGAGAGCGCTGAGACTAGGCCGATGTGCATGCCACGTCACAAGAGAACAGCACCAAATGCAGCCATAAACAAAAGCCCACACGACAGATAAAAGATCAATGTTTTGTTTGGACATGAGGTGATGCTATGATATTGCAACCGGATGATTATGGTCAAACTATTGGATTCGAGTATCTGAAACGGAAAAAGAACAAGAGAAGATTTAATCTATTTTATGTCACCAGCCTCGGGCTCATCATCGACCTTGGCCAGCCCTTGTTCCCGGAGAAGGGAATCAATCTCATCTGCAGTCCATAGGTGGTGGTAGATCTTGCCATCCTTGGTCTTGCCCACTGTTGCAAACTCGACTGCGTAAGGTAGAAATGTTAGGACGAAAACACAATACAGAAATGACCGTAAAACTCACTCTTCTCGCTGCTCAGCTTTGTGGAGTCCATAGTCTTGCTCAGCACCTTGACAGCCATAGCACAAGCCTCCTTCAGATTGCAGTCCTCCTTGTAATCTTGCTTGAGGAGACTCTGCGCACTTGCGTTGTTTGCGCCAACGCTCGTCGCTTTCCAGCCTCCGTAATTTCCACTGGGGTTACTCTGGTACAACTGGAATTGACGGAGATGGTCATACCCAGCGTAGATGAAGGAGACACCGAACGGACGGAGACCTCCGTGTTGGGTATATCCTTGCTTCAGATCACACAGTCGACGGACAAGTTGTTCGCATGGAATGTCTTCGTTGTACGTGAGGAGGTAGCGTTGGGCGTTCTGGCGAGCATAGTTGATCAGAATGTTGGCATCGGCGTTCATACCCGCAACGGCGCAGATCATGTTACTGGAAATCATTAGCTACTTATCTCAATACTAAACACAGCAAATCTGGCTATTTTATTTGAGACAAAGGTAGTGTTGGCGTACTCGTTGATTGTGTAGAGCTTCTCAGCGGAGGTATCCTGCTCCAGCAGCTTGCTGGTCACCTTCCTCTCAGCAGCGAGGACAATACCATCCTTGGCTAAGACACCAAGGGCTGTGCCAGCGTGAGAAATAGCCTCAAGCGCATATTCAACCTGGTAGAGTCGACCCTCTGGGGAGAAGATGGTGGTCTTTCCAAAATCGTCATAGGTTAGCTGGAGCTGCACAAGAGGAATGACGGTGTGCACAAACCCTCGAATCGTATCTCCGAGACATCGTGTATGAATAAAAGAAAGCGAAAAAAACTCAAAATGGGCTAAAGGTGAGGGTTGATTGTGCGAGACAGGTGGTTCGGGATGGTGAAGGTCGATGGTGAAGACGTAGAAGCTCCAGGCAACTCGCCCTGGCGCGTCCTCTGTCATCCGCCAAGCTCGGACCACTTCACCACACCAAAGCTTCGTTGCGACGATTTCACCACCTTGACCCGCAAGTACGGATTACAAGACCGATTTGCCCATTACTTTGCATTTTAAATTGATTCATATCGATTGCTATGCTCAGATCAACATACACCGCTCCTCCTCCTTTGCCGTCGGGGTGGACACAACATCGAGCCCCCACAGGTTGGTCTTGCGCTGGGTTCGAGTGAAAGGTCTTGGTTCTGACTATTAAGCCAGGTCATTTGTACTATTACAATTCTTCCACAAAAC